GGCTTCGTCAGCTGCTCCAAGAGTTGCTTTGTGAAGTTCACAAGGCCATGCTCGACTACTGCGACAACGTCTCCGCCGTGTACCTCTCCGCCAACCCAGTCCATCATCGTCGAACGAAGTATATTGAGCTCGACATTCACTTTGTTCGCGAGCAGGTGGCTCTTGGGCGCATCCGGGTCCTTCATGTCCTGACGGCGCAACAGTTCATCGATGTGATGACAAAGAGATTGCCTACTTCCGTATTTGAGGAGTTCAGGTCCAGTCTCTGCGTCTCCGGCGACACTTCGACTGCGGAGACGTTGAACATATGGTTTTGCATGTATATTGTGTATCTTGACCCACCTCCTAGTCCTTGTATAGTTGAGGTCGAGACCCACGTTGTACACCCATGTATACGTGATTTATGCACCGATAAATACATCGAGTTGCATAGCCAAAAGTTATCTCTCAACAGTGAGAATCTGTTGCTACTAGCTACTACAAAGTGTGACATGGGTGAGAATCCAGTGTAGCTAGTTAGTACTCCTACACACGTACGTGAAAACAAAGCCAAACACTTACGGACAACGCTGGCACGGTTGTACAGTCGAATGCAGCCAGCTCTCTGATGCACCGGATTCTCTTGCTCGCTTTCTCATGCCGGTCCATGGCCATGGCCATGCCCCTCTCCTCAGTCCTCACAATAGCAAGTACTCTAGTACTACGTGCTCTACTGTCATGCATAGTAGTAGAGCCTAGGGTAGCGTGCACCTGTGTGCTAGCTAGATTGAAGCAGCAAATCAATGGCCTGGCCAATATAGCGGGATGCAGGAAACAGTGATCGAGAGCGTGGCAAGATCTCCCTCCACCGGAGCAAAAAAAAAGTAGGAGCATGCATGAACAGTCGTCAATGCATGCAGTATGATAATATATCTACATGCAAATGAAAATATGGAAGGATATTCATCAGCTATTATTGGCCCAGCCAGCACTGCGCTGTCTGCAAAATATGCTTCCCCATATATGGTCCATACGCAAAAAAGTGAAAATGCACGACCTAATCCATCATATATGTACACGCGTCACACCTTAGCTTGCACTCTCTGCTCAAGAACTATTGTGGATACATTTTAACTAGTTTATATTTAGTTGTTTCAATCATAATTTCAATTCAGTTTTAGAAACATTTCATATAATTTTTAATTATAGTAATATTTTAGTCAATTCAGAAGAAGAAAAACACTAAGGTTTGGCACAAATTCCAATTATTTCAGTCTTGTTTTAAGCTAATTTAGGAAAATCAGACACAAATACCAATTATTTCATAATTTTAATAGGTTTACTAGTAATTGAAATTCAAGTGAAATATCAAGATATAGACTTGTTAAACGTCATTGAGATGGTCATGAGATTTGTGTGACTAATGAAAGAAAGGGAGTTTTAAGAAATGAAACTTTGGAAATCGTACTGAAATTATTCTGAGAACTGTGACAATTGTGACACCAAAATTAACAACATGTATTTTCCATGAAGTGTTTTGAAGTAGTGCTAGAAGTGAGATTATCGAGAACAAAGGTTTAAATTGTTAGATATTTCTGAAACTAGACTGCGAAAATTGTGTTGCAACCATTGATGTTTGTTCAATTTGTATGATTTTTTATTTGTGCGGTGGCGTGACATGGTTATGAAATTATATAATTTTCCACAGAGCGTGAAATTTATGAAAGTAAACTTGTGAAACGTTACCGGAATTATGTGAAATAGTATTAAAACTGTGAAAAAACCAAAATGTTTATAGTATCAATTGAAATCTTACAGAAATAATTCACATACATGAGTCAATGTATGTGGAATGTATAGTTTTATTTATAATAAATAAAATAGAATAAAAAAATAGGAAAAGTTTGAATGTTGAGAACATGCGGTGCCCCATGTTTGGTTTTGGTAATTGATGACAATCTCTATGGACTAATGGTTGCCTTGAATTATATTTGAAGGGTTTGTTCATAGGCTTTTCTTGAAGTCCATGTGTTGGTTTCAAAGAGTTTATGAGATGGCGAAAGTGCTTTTCAAGGAATTATCCAAAGATTGGTCATGTGAGAGTTGAGTTTATTGCAAGCATGTCTTGAAGAAGAAGATTGTGTGAACATTCAAGTTTACCTTCAAGACATCATCCTAATGAAGAGAGTTGGAAATATTCAAGGTTAATCAAGACTAAGTACAAAGAGTGATTCAAGTTGGTCAACACAGAAAGCGCACATGTTGTACCAAGAGGGATCAAGTGATCTCATGGTATGGTAAGCATTGTCCATTACGCTTTGTGTACTAACCCATGGTCTACGTTTGAGTTCTATGTGGGGTTAGGTATGTTTTCATGGGTTTGCATCAAGAGGAAGATCTCATACAACCCATGGAGGATGACATCAAGTGGTGATCGCCATCAAGATTGCGATGTGCAAGTTCAAGTGGAGCATCATGAAGAGATCATCCTTGAAGCTTGTCGCCCATTGTGTTGTCACTAGACTTGTGAAGATGTGCCAAAGAGTGACTCGCCCATAGTGGAGTACGGGGGAGCAATCAACTAGTCTTCATCAAACCAGCGCAATCAAGAAAGGTGGGCCAACTTGAGGAAGTAAAGATCATCATCATCTAGCTCAAGTGGACTATGTGCAAGGCAAAGGTTTGCCCTTGATAGGTTTTCTATTTTACCAGTCTCATGGTGGTAGTTGGGAGACCGAGTTGTAGGATCGATTGCCGTACTATCAAGGGGGGCTATCTAGTGAGTAGCTTGGTCATATCGTTTGTCGAGAGCTTTAACCGTTGCATCCTTGCATCATATCTCTTGGTTCTTTTTTGGTTCTTCTCCTTGTGAGATTTGGAGCTTATGGTCATCTTCATGGCAAGCTCGAGTTCATCGAAAACCAATTTCATATGCATCTTCTTTTGTGTTTTCGGCGTTGGAGTTTTTACCGGTCTTATTTGAGAAAGGGTTCTCACCATTTTATTTTGGGGTATTTTCTCAATTGCTATTTCTTGATATTTCTATCAATATTGTGTTTTCTCTTGTCGTTAGCTTTCCAACAAACTAGTTTTCGTTGAATTCGGAGCTCGTATGCGAAAGTTATGGCTGTTTTGATCTTACCTATTTTACATAGACCGGTTGTACCGGTTGACCGGTACTACCGGTGTTTGGGGTTGTCGTACCGCTCCAGACTTGGTCCGGTGGTTGTACCGGCCCTGTACCGCTCTACCACCGGACTGGGTTCTGTTGTGGAGCGGTTATTGGGCGATTGTGGGCCGGTTTTACCGGTTAGTTCCAGTTTAACCAGTACTACCCCGGTGCCCCGGGCGGTTGTACCGCTTAGTGATTTTCCTACAGGTAGGTTTTTTCTCTACTTTAACCGGTTGTACTGGTTCTACAATTTTCTGCACATAACAGGCAGATTCGTGGAGTCCTATAAAAGGGGATCTTCTTCCCCATTGGACCCTATCTCTTGAGCTCGTGTTCTTCCCTCATTGTTGACCTTTTTCGAGCTTGCTATCTCTCAATACCTCCATGGATTCTTGCTAGTTTTGGGGAGAAAAGAGACAAGATATCTAGATCCACATTTTCACCAATCACTTTCTCCTCTATGTGAGGGGAACCCCTTGGATCTAGATCTTGGAGTTCTTCGTGTTCTCTTCTTCGTTCTTCCTCCCATTTTCCTCCCTAGTATTAGTTTCTTTGGTGGGATTTGGGAGAGAAGGACTTGGGCACTCCGTGTGCCATTGCCATTACATTCGGTTCATCGGTTTGAGTTCTCCACGGTGATACGTGAAAATGAAGTTGAGAAGCTTGTTACTTTTGGGTGTCATGGTGCCCTAGATGGTTGCTGTTGTCAGAGCTCAATCATTGGGGCGTAAAGCTCTAGGCAAGCGTCGGGGTCTCCAATTAGGTTGTGGAGATCGCCCCGAGCAATTTGACGGGTATCGGTGACTGCCCCCAAGAGTTGCCAAAGTGTACGGGTTCGGTGACTGCCCCCAGGGTTGCCATTTGTACGGGTTCGGTGACCGCCCTCAAGGGTCCCTTAGTGGAATCACGACATCTGGCATTGCGCAAGGGCTTGAGGAGATTACGGTGACCCTAGTGGCTTTTTGGGGAGCATTGTGCCTCCACACCTCCCCAAACGGAGATTAGCATCCGCAAGGGTGTGAACTTCGGGATACATCATCATCTCCGCGTGCCTCGGTTATCTCTTACCCGAGCCCTTTACTTATGCACTTTACTTTGTGATAGCCATATTGTTCCATGCCATATATATATCTTGCTATCACTTAGTTGTTTATCTTACTTAGCATAAGTTGTTGGTGCACATAGGTGAGCCTACATGTTTTAGGTTTTGTGCTTGACAAATTAAATGCTAGTTTTATTCCATATTTGTT